TTCTTCTACGAAAACCTGAATGCCAGTTTGTACAACGTTAAAATGAAGCAGGAGTACTTTTTAAGCTAAAAAGTAGGTAAACAGGTTACAAATTGAGTACTCATTAAGCAATTGGGCTGTTTTCTTTCCTGAGCAGTCTGTGGAGTGCTGGATTTAATAATAAAGATGTAATGGTCTTTTTTTTTTTTTTTTTTTTTGCAGCTAAAGAATTAGAAAGTTCTTATTTTAGTCTTACTGACTTCTGAGTGTGCAGTTCCTACTCAATTTCTAGTCTTAGTTGACTGACCTTGAAAATAAACACAAATTTGGAAATGCCTGCAGTTCCAGTAGTATCTTCAGTGCAAAATCTGTGTGCATGCTCACATATACATGTGTGCCTAAACCTTTTTACTCTTAATACCTCAGTGCTCATTGTCACAGAGCTGCTTTGGTTCTAGAATCACTGAAATTGTGCCAGTGTTGTTGTTGCTCAAATACCAGTGAATTTTAGAAATTTTACTTAACTCTCGCTTGTTTCAGCTTTGACAATCTGGAAATCAGAATACTTGCTCTAGTTTTGTTAGCTCTCACTGTATCGGTTTAACTGTAGCCTTTAGTTTCAGGGCCTAAGAGACAGAAATCTAGTTTTGGTGGTTACTGTGTCTGCTGGAACAGAAAACAGAAAAGTAAATAATGTTTTATTAATTTCTTTTTTTGTAATCTTAGCACTTTAAAAGAGATGTTTTTAATGGTTTAGGGCATCAGTTAGGATCATCACATGAATAATAGTGAAAAGATTTAGAAAAATGTGTGTGTTGGAAGGTTTGTTGTCAGATGTGATTGCTCACTTTCTTTTCTCCATTGGTGATTTAAAAACAACAACTGTAGAGCAGTAGTGAATGAAGAGATGGGCAGAAGAAAGGTGTGTTCAGCGACTCATTGATCTGGAAGCTTAGATGTGAACTGACGAGTATTCACTGGAGAGCATGGTTTTCTTTTGTGTTGGCATACGGATGGAATATTTTGTTGTCTAAAAACATTCATGTCTTCAGTTTAGTGAAAAAATTGGGTTGATTTTCTGATAATCTGAGAAACTTCAGAGATAAGACACAGTTGACAGAAATGTTTGAATAATACGTATTAGCACCAGTACTCAATGAAGTCATTCAATTCACAACTTAAAATAATATTACTGTTCTCCAGTTCTTGCAACAGCAAGCTTTTTTCTGTGGTTTGAAAAATGCCATAATTTTGCAGCAAGTAGTTGTGTTGTGACACCTGGATTATTGTGTGCAGTTGGTGTGATACAGTACCTGTTCCGAGGTGTTCTGCCCATCCTTCACCAAACAGTTTTTAGGGAACTGTCACTACTAAAGAGCAAGGTGATTCATTTAAAATTAATAAATAAAATCAGGACTTGAATACAGCGTGACATTTAACTTGTGTTGTGTCTTAATTAATGTGGGATTTGGGACCAGCTCTGGATACTGCATATACAACCAGATTAAAGCTTCTTGAATGAAATTGCTGACAAGATGATGGTCTGGAGGTTGTTGAAAGTTTCACTTGGAGCTGGTCTGCTTGACTGTTAGCTATCTTTTGATTTTAGTTTGCTCTGTTTTAGTTGCTGTGTTTCACTAATTGTTGCCTGCCTACATCTTACACTTCGTGGTTTCAGAATGGCGAGTGAACTCTGCTAGGTAACAAGCAGTGTCTGTATCTTTCTTGTGTGCTAATACCCTTTCTAAAATTTGTTCCTATTTACTTGTTCCCTTGACATAAGCTGTTCTGCTTTGAGGGGTCCCTTTCAGACAGTTTGTAGATGTTATCTATCTGCAAGATATGTGCACAGGAAGGACAGCAATGTCTTGGGGCACAAAAACCTAGGATCATGATAGTAGTTGTGTAGATTGTTGGTTTTTTTTTTTTTTTTTTTAAACAACAGCAACAAGCAGTTCAGTAATTAAGCATTCTTTCTACTGCCAATGTGTTTTTTATAATGTGTATCCAGAATGTAAAGCAAAGCTAATCCCTGAAGTCAAACTACAGCTGTCTACACGAAAGCCCTTGGGGCTCATCTGTCAATACCTGCCCCCATGCAGTCTTTTATAGTTGCAGAATTTCAGGTATACCATTAGGATGAATGATATTTTATTCTATTATTGTTTAAACAGTGAGAACCAAAACTTGATGGTAGGGTAGGACCCAACTGCTTGGGTCAAAGTCAGAGTTTAATGCTTTTTTTTTCCCCCTTTGGTGAGAGTTGGGTTAAGTAACTGCACAGTAGTTCTGAAATGCCACCTCTATTTCTGAGTTGAGTGTGATCATTTGCTCACAGAGAGGAGTCCATCACCACAGCCTTCCAAAAGCCACCGTATATGTGAAGTATATTGGTCAAAATACCAAATTCTGGTAACTTTAAACATCTCCTCTTTGAGAAGCTATGTTATTCAGGCTTGCTGGCTGATGCTGAGCATTGGTGAGCACAGTGATGAAAGGCGTGCCGGTGCTACTTCACTGGAAGCTGTGCTGAAGACCTCCAAGAAGAGGCTCTGGATGAGCCATTCAGTACCATATGTGGTCTGTCATAGGCTAGTTTCATGCCTGCTTGTGGTAGTGGGAACTAGCCAGCCATGACAAAAAAAAAAAAAAAAAAGAACATTGTGGCTCTTCAACTTGTGCTGGTACTACTTCTGTTATTAAAGTGAACATGATCTGAAAGCCCCTCTGCACTCAATGTGTGAACAGTGCTCAGCATGTGCCATAGCTTCTAAATCAGCCTGTGCTATCTACGGGAGCAAACCTGTACCAGAGGTGTGTGATGTGTGCCAGTGTTAACCTATCTCCTACCTTTAGTTTCCTCCTGTTTTTTGCTCTGGGTGGTAAAGAATTAAAGGCATGAAGTTGCACAGAGATGTGTTGGAAAGAACAACATGTAAACTTACTTTCAGGTCACAGGCCCCGATTTACTGCAATGACTCACTTAAGAATGTCCGAGATGAACCTCTCAGATGTATCATTCAAGATGATTGTCCGAATTTCCTGTCAAAATAGAATTATTAGCCTTACTCAGCAGCCTATTGATGGATATATTACTACTGCTACTACATGTTTCTGAGTGAATGTGTCTATGCAAACTGTTGTGCATTGCCTCACGATTGTGAAGCCATCCTGGTGTCCCACAGCAGGCATCCCTCATCCTGATGTGGAGCAGTATAAACTGTCACTTGTTGATGCAGTTCCCTTTGGCAGTGAGCTACTTTGGGTTGTGAACTGCCTTCCTTTCCAGTCTCTCTCCCCTCAACTGTCTTCTGCCATGCAGCTATCCCACAAAGTGCCACACACTGTCACTGCATTGGCACTGTCATTACGGTTCCTTCTCCCTCATCCAGCAGTGCCACATCTCTGTGCTCAGCACCTGTCAGCAAATTCTTCCCTGCTCTGACTCTCTTTCCCAAACCAGAAAGCCTGGACAGAAATGGCCTCACTCTGGCTTGTGGCATGCACCTGGTGGACAGTGAAGGCAGGGATATCTGGTAAAGTATGGAAAGGAAAGGTCAGGCTCTCAAAACATTGTGGCTGTGAAGCTAGCTGAAGAAGTTCTGGTACCTGAGAAAATAGCTGGTGCTTTATGGAAGTGATGGTGAAGAGGTGGAGGTGAGGAATCACCACATCATCTCAGACGTGATGGTGGAGTTCATGCATCTTGTACAGGATTAGCAGAATGATATGTCATGGTGCCAGAGGTCAGGACCACTTAAAAAAGTGATTGTTCTTTTATATGAGATGGCAGGAGAAGCTTTATCAGAGGAGGATTCAGAGTCAGCTGAGTAAAGGTGGCATTAGAGAAGATGCTGCCTCAGGTACCCATCGCATTTGAGCAACAAGCTTTTCACACACTGCCCTCCATGTAGGAAATGAAGTGCCTGATAGATGTATTATGTTCTACCTTGTTGGCAAGTGTTACTAGAAGGATCTCTTGTAAATAAATATTTGATTTTTTTTTTCTGTTTTTTTAAATGATTGAGAGTACAAGATTATTAAAGGGTTTTGCACTGTTACAGAAGGATAAACAAAGGTGCATTTTCTGGTGGACTCTTGTTGTGAGTCCTTGTCTTTACAAGTACGTCTGAATAATTTTCACAACCCTACTTATCTCGGATACTGAAAGACTTGCAGTGAATAGGCTGAAATCTGTGTTCTTGGAAGTTTTGAAAGTGTATCTAGCTGATTTCTTAATTGGAAGTGTTCTTTTTCTTAACGGTCATAGGGGCAAAATGAGCTTTGAAAATAGAATGAGTTAAAATGAACTCATGAGTTAAATGAGTTAAAATGAGTTAAAATGCAAAGCAGTAGTGTATGATTATAGCATTGTTTTAAGTATACCCTGTAACACTTAGAATGCATCAGAAGTGCTTGCCTAACTTTCCTAGTTGATCTTGTAACTTACTAACATACCTGACTAAGAGAGGCTAATTTTGTGGAAGAAAAGTATACATTTTATGAGTGTCCTTCTTGAAATTTCCAAAATAATACAAAATAAATAAAAATGCCCCACAAACATTTTCTTCTTTAAAATGCATTACATTTTGCTTTGTTTGTCAGGTAGGAAAAGAAAAACAATTGTGTGGAATCAAAAGAAATTTCCTATCAGAATTTTAGATTGTAGGCTTTGTTGAGGGAGAGGGAAGGGTGGCCACTTAGTTTTACTAGAAATATAAGAAAAATGACATTTTTTGAAGAAAAAAAAGTGTATGCCTTTTTAGTAAAAATGCTTCTATTTGAAATGTCTTGCTAATGGACCTTGGAATAAGCCTGGCTAAGTTACGTGCTGGTGTCTTGGCAACAAGGCAGTTTTAAAACCTGGGTGCATAGAGATGGTCGCTGCTTGTCTAAGCATTGATAAACCTTTTTCGAAAGTCAGCAAGACTGTACCAGCCTACATCATGACTTCAGTAGTGGTAAATGAGTGTATTTAACTTGGATGGTTTTGTCTCATTTCTTCTTGCTTCTTTACACAGGGAGTGAAGTATCTCTGCATTCCTGCTGCTGACTCACCCTCACAGAACTTGTAAGTTTTCTTTAAAAATAAAACACAAAGCCCCAGAAATCCTTCTGTGCTGTGCTGCCTGTTTTACAGTGATTTAGGAGATCTAATTCTGCTCTCTCACAAATATTACACTAATGTGTTTTTAAACTGCTAAGAAAATACAGTAATGTTTTCTTGCAGCCACTTTGATTCTGACCCTGCTTTTTGTGTGTAAGGGTTGATAGGAGAGTCAGTATATAAATAAGTATATAAACACTCTTTATTAATTTTGGTGTTTCTCAGTGAGTCTGTTCCTAATACATTCCCAGTTTATTCCAGCCATTGTTTTTGTAAACCTTTTTTCCTTGCCTCTTCTTTCTTACTGAAGCAGTATGTCTAGCCGTTGAAGAAAGGGAACCTATTTGAAAGAGCTGTGAAGTTTGGTGCTTCAGGGGTTTAATTGAATTCCTCACACAGTGCCTTAGAGATGAAGTATCAATATGCAAACTGCTCCTGTGTCTGTGTGCTCTGGATGACTCGCACTACTTCTGAAGGCCCCACTGCTCTTATTAGCAGACCAGCATGGCAGGGAATTTGTCTGCACTGGGGTGATTCTTGCCTTGGAGATGTGTGTACAGAAACTATTGTGTGCCAGCCTCAGTTTTTCTTACCACTGCTCACATTCATGCAGTGCTGGTTAACTTGACCTTGGTTTTAATGTTTTGAACCATTAAACTGAAGATGCCTAGCAAATCTCGATTCCAAAGAGAAATCAAAACAAATTTTCTAAGAGAACTTGGATGGTGACCAACTTTTTCCTCTAGAGCTCAGTGTTTATGTTGGGGAGACATGAGGGGGGTTTCAGCCACATCCTGCCAGAAAGTTTGGTAGAGAAATAAGTACTTGAAAGAGGCCTGGTACGTACGGAAGGAAACGCAGCACTGCTTTTCTCTCATGTCACAGCAGTATTCCGGCTGATGCTTTCGGTGAATATTTTTAGAGTGTATGTTTCTCATACCCTAGAAAGATTCCAGTGTGACATTTGGTATCTATTGGTTTGCCTTCTCATTCTGATGTGTTTCTGTCGAAATTGTAAATAAATAAAATTCCTGTTCCAGAACTCTAATTTTCAACACAGGTCTGTAACGAGCAGTCAGATAGTTAACTGCCTTTGTCGAGCACAACCAGCCACGTTTGTGGCCTTGATATTTCAACATAAATTTTAAAATTCAATCCTTTTGTTTAGGAGAAAATATGAGATTAGAGAAAAATATTCACATCTCATATTGTTTGTTGGTATTCTGAGATTTGTCGCATTTCAGAAAATATTTTCCAGGTCTGTTTCATTTGTAGAGATCAAGATCATTTCAGGAATGGAAGTAAAAGGACCAGCATTTCTGATGATGTTGATCATTGTCCTGCTTAGTCCTTCCCTCACTGTTGAGTATCAAGGGTTTGCGTTGAAAAACCACCCCCAGCACTTCAACTGTCTGGCATGGTACCAAAGCTGTTAAAGCTTCAGTAAGAAGATACAATATTTGCATGAGTATTGTTTCTGTTGTGCTGAAGGCGTCTGCAATTCTTGCTTTGGTGTCAGGTGGTTGCAGGCAAACGTCATTACTTCTAATACTGAGACATTTTATCACTTAAAATAAAACTTGATGAGTAACTGATTTTTCTTTTTTCGCTTTATAGAGTGCAGAAATTGAAGTAAAGTCAAATCATGATGCCCACAAGCAGTATTTTTGCTTGCTGTGCACAGGGAGTCCTCTGAAAGCAAGAGGAAATGGTTTTTCTTCAGACTTAGAGGCTATGACAATCCTATCTAGGAGAGAGTAGCTGCACTATGTGCACCCTCTGTTTAGAGAATGCAGCTGAGGAACAGGAAAGGGAGTATGTCTCTCTGCAACATCCTTACATATTTACTTAGTTCTCTGGAAAGGCACTATGGAGGTCTCAGGAAAAAAACACAGCACCATTTTGTGTTGCAGGTGCTTGTGTTTTCTTAACAATTAGAGTAGTGCAACTGCCTGGATGCGTGCTTCTGTCTAACCTGTCTGGCCCAATGACAGGTTTGTTAGAAGTTTATGAAACTTGGTTGCTATTTTCCAGTTGCTGGCAGATGGAAAGTGTCCAACTGAAGGCCGTTACTCATTACTCATGAGCGTGTCCAGAGAAGGGCAACGAAACTGATGAGGGGTCTGGAGCACAAGTGTTATGAGGAGCGGCTGAGGGAGCTGGGATTGTTCAGTCTGGAGAAGAGGAGGCTCAGGGGAGACATCACTGCACTCTACAACTTCCTGAAGGGAGGCTGGGTGAAGAGGGGTTTGGCCTCTTCTTCCAGGCCCTGGAAGAATTCCCAGGACCTGGGGAAATGGCCGCAAGTTGCATCAGAGGAGGTTTAGGTTAGACGTGAGGAAAAACTCTTTCTCTCAGCGAGTGGTCAGGCACTGCAATGGCTGCCCAGCAAGGTGGTGGAGTCGCCGTCCTTGGCAGTGTTCAGGAGGCATCTGGATGAGGAGCTGTGAGATATGGGTTAGAGCTTGTGGTAGCTGTGGTAATGGGGGGACGGTTGGACTAGATGGTCTTGTAGGTTCTTTCCAACCTTGTGATTCTATGATTCATTGAATTTTGGATCTGTAAGCTCCCAATTCACTTCAGCTGAGTTTTTGTGAGGTGAACTTTGGTTTCTTGTGTGTAATACACATTTACTTGTTGTAAGCTTGTTTAGTGGATATCTTCCTTAAAGGGATGAATTGCCAGTGAAATACAATAGGGGTTCCCCTGTTAATGTGCTAATGCTCACCAGAGCTGCTCAAAAGCTTCTCTATGCTCCTGTGTTTTTCCCCTACCAAGTATAGGAATGAAGCAGTTGCTTTTGAGATCTGAGGTGCTTCCTCAGAGTCAAATGCATGTTTTCTTGGACAATGAGAATTTTGTCTTGGGCCACTGACTTCCTCAGAAATGTCATGTCCTACAGAACCTGTTACTAAAAATGTATTCTCTAGAAATCTAATCTTCTGTTTCTGAGTTGTTCTAGCTGATTGTCTTAGGCTATGTGTTTCTAAGGAACTAACATCCAACTGTCAGGCCATTAATGGTGACAGTACAGAAGCCTCTTAAGAAAACAAATTTAGGTGGATCTTTGCATTTAGGCTGCCAAAGGAAAGAGACATCAAGATACTTCTTTTTATCTGTTTTTGCATGCATTGCTTTTAATCTTTATAGTTATTTGCAGAAGGCTGACTAGCAATTGTGATATTTAGAGCTGGTATCATAACTCAGCCCTCTGGCAAGTTTTGGATTATCTGGTTAGCCAGTGTGTAAGCTTAGACAACTTTCACATCCTGTTGGTGGGGGCACTGTGCTCGTTCTTCTCCCTGTGGTGTTTTTCATCCCGAAGATGATGCAGTTCATTACCCAGGTTTAAGCTTACCCAGGTGTAAGCTTGGAGATGTAAAAGTCGAGATATCACATAACGAATTGTCTTGAAGTAGCTGATTATTCTAACAAACAGGTTAACATTCAGTGCATGTGTCAAGTGCTTTCGTGTAACAGATGATAATCAGTGATTTTGCAATTAATGTAAGATTTGCCAAATTTCTGTTTGAGGCGCTTTCCACTTGTTCCTTATCTTGTTTTCTATATAAAAAAAAAAAAAAAAAAAAGTTTATCATAACTTTGATATCAAACCGTGTTTACTGGAACCAGCAAAGACCATGTAGTTCTGGAAAAGTACATTTTTCCTTTTCTGTGACTCAAGGTGAGGAGGGATTGTCATTCTACTGAGCAGCTCCGGCTCTAAGCTTGGTTATTTCTCTTCTCATTTTCATAAATGCCTGTTGATAGTTAACAGTGAATCAGCAGACTGAGTGTCAGCAATAAGGAAGGACAAATTAAACTGAGTACATGGACCTCACAGATAGCTATATTTAGTACCTTATAAAGATGCTGTGCTCATTCACAGATACTTTTCAAACCAAAGCATTGAAGTGTTTAACCAAAACTTGTGCCTAGACCATTGAAGTGAATTCATTGATGCTTGGAGCTTCTCTGTTAGCCCTGTTCTCTAGAGAAGACAGAAGATGGCTGTATGAGGTAGGGATGTTGTCAGTCCAGCCCTAACCAAGTTTTGTCTGATCAAAACCAATTACTCTTGGACATGCACTCCTTCACTATATAGTAGCAGCGCCTCTTGCACACACAGTGCAAACTCTCATTTGTCCTCTTGAGTTGCCTATGTGAAGCTGCCTGTGCTCCACAGACAGGCCTGAATGTCGTGATGTGTTGCAGCTCAGCCAGTGGAAATGTCTTGGAACAGCGATCTGAGCATAGAAAGGCTTCCTCACTCTTCTTCATTCATCTCGCGTTCTTGATCAGTTTATTGAGAAATAAAGAATCCCAAGTTTACATGCTGCCCTAAAACTTAAGGCTATGTCATGCCTTCAAGTTTTTAAGTCACTCAGGTTTCTTCTGGCAGTCTTCCACTGTGTATCCAGTGAAACAAGACTTGCCTGGAAGAAAGAGTCATGGGCTTTATGATTCCTCTTTTTGGGTATGTCAGTTTAGACTTCATCACCTCTGTAATTTCCACAGGCACCCTTGCATACTGTTGCCCTCCTCCAGCTCTTAGTGTCTGTAATATCTGCAGCTGCTCTGTTGGGCAGGAAGGGAAGTTTCCTCTTATGTGGGCATTCCTGATTTTTTTGTGGCTGCTGGTGCTGGGTTGAGGTTTTTTCTACTCACCCTTGTGGTATAATATATATGTAGAGTGGGGAAACATCTTGAGTATAGGACGTTGTGTTTCACGGGTGTTAAGTGCAGTGTTCATCTTTGCCAGGAAGCCTGGTATTAAGTACCTCTTAAGAAGCAGTCTCTGTGCTGCGCACACTGCTGCTGCTTGCAAGCCTAAAGTGCAGGAGCACTCAGAGGCTACAGAAAAATCTAGCTGAGTTGAGCCAAGAGGTGCTGCTGGCTTCTCTGGTAGGTTGTAGGCAACCCATGATCTTTGCAGCCTGAAAGGCAGAGGCAGGGTGAGCACCCTGGGGCTGAGATGCAAAGAGGTGCAGTTGCAGGCTTGCTGTGAGATGACTGCAGTCGGCTGCTCAGCTGTTGGAAGCTGTCAGTTCCTTTCCTTCAGGCTTGCATCACTTGAGATGAGGGGGCACAGAGAATTTTTTCTTACCAGGGCTAAAAGGGGAAGATTTCATGTTGCAAAGACTTACAACGTTTATGTGTGTACTAGTGAATGATTTGGTGTAGGATGATGTAAAGTCAAAGTTAAGCTGCAGTTTGGGTAGCAGGATGCTGCTTTGTGAGAGGCTGTGTACTTTGAGTATTGCTCACATAGCTGCAGTCTGTTTCACCTAACATGTAAGTCACTCAAGGAGATGTGAGGCCGAGTTACCAGAGGAATAAAACACAAACTGAAACACAGACTCACTGTTCATCAGAATGAAGTGTTTGCCAATGTTTATCACACCGTAGTGCCTAAGATACCTGTTCCTCCTTCAGGTAGCACAGTGAATAACTATGCCAAGTGAATTTTGGGTTTCACTGGTACATGCTAAGTTTTACACTGCAAGTCCTCTGTTCTCTTTGAAACTCTAGAAACAGGATTAAGTGAGCTTTCAGATGCATTTCTTTCTAAGTAGCGATTTTACTAAACGCAGCACTTTCTTCACTCTCTTTCTGCTTCTGTTTTCAGGGCAAGGCATTTCAGAGAGAGCATCAAATTTATTCATGAGTGCCGACTCACAGGTGAAGGCTGCCTAGTTCATTGGTATGTATAACACTGGCTAAAGAAACTAATTAAGGGTTTCTATGCCATCCTTACTCAAGTTAGGCAGTACAGGGTTGGACAAGAAAACCACATTGCTTTATTAAAATGATGTTTCTATCTGTTATGCTGATAGCATGCTACTGGCTTTCTTTTTCTGATCTGTATGGCCAGAAAAACAGTATTTTGGGCTAAGTGGGAGTCATCTTTTCTGGAGATATTCAGGGCTCACATGGAGGCTTTCCTGCTCTGTGAGGAATCTGCTTTAGCAAGGTGTTGGACTCCATGATCTCCAGAGATCCATTCCAGCCCCTACAACTCTGTGATTCATCAGCTTTATGATAAGTTAGCACTTGTCTCATTTGCTGCAAAATCCACCTGAAGTATTGTCATCATTTGAAGAATCTCAGAAGACACACAAATGTTACTAAAGCTTGATGTAGGGCTTTCGAGCTGCTTGGCTGGGCAGCTGCCTGGAGGAGGAGCTCCTCAAGGAGCTTGAGAAATTCTTGGCCTTCTCTCCAAATCAAGCCTTTTTACAGGTCTTTCCTAACAAAATAATAATAAAATCTTTGACTAGAGCTTTTATTTATTTGTGGTTGTTAATCATTGTTTTTCTAAAGATTTCCATAATCCTAATAATCAATTTCTATAAACAGCTATTTTGATGATTTCAGTGATTTGTTATTAAAAAAACAAAAAGCCCTCTGAAAATAAATTGATATATTTATTTATTTTGACTGCTGAAGCATTCAAAAGTTGCATTTCTTAATAGCGAGTCTCTGATTGGAGAGATGCTGCTGGGACTATAAAGAGTAAAAAAATGGATTTTCCACCCTGGGTTTTTTCTTGCTCCCTGCTATTGGTTGTAGTCTGTGCTGCACGTTCAAGTGGCATATCTGAGTCTGTGTCTGGAATCTGTCATCTCATGATCTGAGCACTTATATATGGGCTCTGAGCATAAATCTTCAATTTGTTACTGACTCGTGGCAGGGTGTGGACGAGTCATTTGGTCAGTCTCTGTCTATGTAAAATGCATAATTTGTCTGAATCCTGGTGGTGATAAAAAGTGTGTATTTATATTTGTGGCTCCCTTCAAGAACATGAGATGGTTTGGAAATGTCTGGTGAAAGAATTTGATATAAATGCAGCACTAGCTCATTATACATACTGGTGATAGTAAGAGTTAGGAGTTTTTCCAGAGCAGGGAAACCAGTACTAGGGAATGATTCTTACTTTATCCCAGTGTCTCAGGAAACTGGAGTCCTGAGAACCTAAGTTACGCAGTGCATGGAGAACAGAAAGAGGAAAAGAGCTCGAACAATCAAACCTGTGCATTTTAACAGTTCAGTTAATTGCAGAACCTGTAAAATGGAGCTTTTATTCATGATGAGGAGGAGGGCGCAGTCTTATTTTAGTGCTTTCATCTGTATAGGCAAAAGACTGGGTGACTTATTTAGCTCATTCAAAATCAAATTTAACTTAGAAGTGTACACTCTCCTCCCCTTTTGTGAACACTTTGTGTTTATTCCTTCCTTTCTAATCTCATATGAATTATCATTCAGAACCCACTTCTTCAAACTTGTTATAGATTTGTTCTGATTCATTTGAAAAAGCAGTACCAAAACCCCCTTAGCTCCAATACAGTAGTATTTATTGTGGCAGTTAACACAGCAAACCTGCTGTGGCGTTGGTTGGGAAGTGGTGCTTTTAACTGTAATTGAAGCAGAGCAGTACTTCATCTATTTCTTGCACCTCGTTTTTCATGCAGCCTTGCAGGTGTCTCTAGGAGTGTAACGTTGGTGGTTGCGTACATCATGACCATCACAGACTTTGGCTGGGAAGATGCACTGTCTGTTGTCAGAGCAGCGAGATCCTGTGCCAATCCTAACATGGGCTTCCAGAGACAGCTACAGGACTTTGAAAAGCACGATGTTGATCAGGTATAACCTACAAACAAATGAAATGAGAAACAGAACTCTGAGTTGGTTGATGGGGCTACTTGTCACTGTTCTGAGGCCTGCCTGGTCTGTCTGACTCCTTGGGCTTACTTTGTGGAAATGACTTCTTTGGTAAGCCTGCTACACTGGGGAGGTGCAGGTAGAACTAAAAGTATCAAGGAATATATGGGATGGGAGTGAAGATGAAGCATAACATCCACATGCACCTGCCCAGCTGTGCTCTCAATCCAGTGATCCTCATTGTACTGAAGACATAATACAACATTTAAACCTTTAGAGAGAGAAGATACAAAGGTGAAGGGCTCAGAATACAGCAGCAAAACCAACTTTTAGTTGGTGTAAAGTATAAAAATATTCTTTTCCCTAGCATTCATTTGAATTAGTAATTAGGGAAGAAATCATAATCAGAAATCTGCTACCTGTAAATGAATTTAGGTTATCATTATGATCTATGTCCTCTGTCAGCAATACCTTCTGTAACTGAGACTTAATAAACATTTAAGTGTGCAGAATGGTCTCAAAATTTTTTCTTATTTCTAGCCTTTTAAGGCTTTGTAGGCTAGGATAATTAAGGAAACAATAGGACTGCAAAGTGATTATCGTAAAATGAGTTTCTTACACCTAAAAACAACATTCTATGCAAAAGACCTGCTCCCCATCAGTGGCTTCCACTTATGTTAACTTCCTACTCTGACTGTCCCTTCTGCTTGCTCAGCCTATTGTTCTTTGGGCTCTCTTGGATTACACTTATTAAAAAATCAACAGCGGAGGCCAACCAAAATACATGAGGTTAAAAAGAAATCAATTTATCATTACATACCCATCATTCTGCTGCAGAAGGTTCAGAGTTCAGAAATTACCATTTGTTTTGCATAATGCAGCTTGCAACTGTAAATATTTTGAGTTTTTTTTTAATATTTAACTGAATGTTTCCTGGGTCGTTTGGAACTGGTGTAAATGGTAGAGTTAACTGATTTTTTAAGAGGCAAAAGTAGGAGGGGGACTTTCCAGACTCGTCTCCTTCCTCCCTTACAGTCATTTCTGCTCTGGGCAAATTGGTCTGGGCAAACAGCAATGACAATTAAGGCTATATGCAAATAGCCCGATAAAGACAGTAACGTCTTTTTTTCATCCATGATGGACAGGACATTCAGCCTATTTCACTGAGGGGGAGGCAGTAGCTTGCAAAAAGAAATATCCACCTGTAGTCACTGGCTGGGCTGAAGTTTCTTACTGTCTCTTGATAACAACCACATCCTTAGCAGGTGTCTGTTTGCACACCTGATTTCAGTGGAATATTGCCATCTGCAAAGGGTGTGAACCTTTTTTTTTCTGATTTCAGCACCATCGGTGCTTTGCTAAGTCTGTTCAGAGCGATATCCTGCGGGGTTTCTGGGATGGAGTCCCTTACTTCTTGATCTTACATGAGGGGTTTAGTCTCTAAGGAAATCACGTAGTTTGCAGTGATTCCAGATTTCCAGGTGCAGGTCTGAGGCTTCAGATTTTCCTTAGTGTTATTGTGACCTTTTAGGAATAGGAGGCAATAATTATATGCAGGTCCTGTCTCCCGGTGTTTAGGTAGATGGTCTTTAAAGCTAAAGTCTATGATCCTCCAACAGAATAAAGCTGTGGAAACTAAGGCTTTTAAGGAGTATTATCTGCATTGGAACCGAGCAACTGTGGTCTGTATCTTTCTGCTGCTTTTGCGGTAAAGAGCAACAAATTGTTCTGAATGACTTACGTAGATTCAAATCTTCAACTGCCAAAGAAATGACAGAAGAATCTGACAAAGGTCTATGGAACTAGCCTGGAATAGAGGAGGTGAACAGATATGATTTGCTTTCTTCCTTGCAGTGTGAGGTGGAGGTATCAACTGGCTGGTCTCAATCAGATAAAATCATACAACAGATACTTGCGGATAATGTTGGTGAAAATAGATGGATTCAAAAATTTGAGGCAGAAGAAAAGCACTTTTTTTTAATTTTTGTATGAAGCACAAAGATATTGCCTCAGTCTAAAAGTACCTGAGATAAAAATTGCAGGAAGCTGAGAAAATCATGGGGAAGATGTCCCAGCATCATTGCCCTTCCCCTACATGGTTCCCTCATCTTCAAATGATCCTGGTGCTTTGGTCGTATACCAGTCAGTCATTCATGTCGGTAACATAGAGGATCATATACTACAGCTGCTAGATCTCCTGGTCTTTTTCTTCCTTCTAGTTACCTTTTCTAGTATCTACAGTGCAATTTCTACTACAGGTGTTAGTCAGATGAGGATGAAAAAGCCATATTGGTGGTTCAGTTACTGGTCTTTTAACCTTTTGAAGTTCTTTAAGGTTGTTGTGACTTCCACACATACTTATCTCATTGCTTGTGTGTGCTTGTACAAGTCCAGGATGTCCTTGCCCAGTGGATTTTCCTTATTCAGGATTATTACAGTCAGCCAAGCTGTTAAGCAAGTTATGTCATTTTAGGGAAGGTAAGGGATCTCAGTGGTTTCATATGTGTTCCTCTGTCTATGCATTCCGTGCTTCTTTTTTAGGATGTACAATATTTACGTGTTTTTTTAGATTGCTTGTATTCTGAAAGGCTCTGTAGGGCTGGAGGGAATATTACTTGTGCATAAGTCTCCTGATATTGCTTCATCATGTTTTATCTGTCTGTTTAATCTCTGCAGTTCAGGCAGTGGCTGAAAGAAGAATATGGCGAAAACTCTTTTCAGGATCTGCAAGAAGCCAAAAATCTTCTGAGCAAGTACAAGGAGCAGGCAGAATTGCAGCAGAGTACTGGGGGAAGACAGTGGAATAACAACTTCTCATCTGTGCCATCTCTCTCATACAACAACTACACAACAGAGACCTAGTCCTAGAAGGCTGAGTTTTTCTCTCTACCTTTGAAGAATATTTTGCCATAATTCCTATCCCATCTTCAAGACTTGACAGTAATCATACAAACAATTGATTTGTAGAAAGCTTCTTGATGAAAATTGTACATTATGTGTGTGTGGATGAATGTGTTTAACACAGTTTTATAATTCCGGCAGGATCTAGCTCTCTGTACACTCAGAGACAAGATCCAATTACTGTGGCTGAGCCAGTCTGTCAGCCACAGCTGTTGTCCCTACATGGCCTGGCATTTGCTGTGAGGTTAGCTCAACTTCTTTTGTTGTAGGCTAGCAAAGGGCTCTGAGAGATGAACTCTAGTGATTCCAGCTTTGGCACTTTGACATCTCTGCACTTTTACTGTGGCAAATGTATTATTGCACCTGAAGAAGGGAACTCAAGTCTACAGTTCACAGTCCATTGGCAAGTAACACCCTGGAGATGGACTTGTGCTCGAATGCTGGGCTGTAAACTGGGGCAGGTTAGATATGTACACGCACCTTTCTACCAACAGTAACAGCTAGGGGAGAAGTGGGACAGACAGCTCTGAGTAATAACATCTTCAACTGCCACAGTTGTACTTGCTTCAGTGCACGTGAGACAGAGCTGTCGGCAGAACTCCCGCAGACCGAGAGCACAAACTGCCACCACAGTTCAGCTGATATGCAGTGATTTAAGCCATGGTCCTCGGTTGTGCTTAGGGTCTCCCATCATGAACTTCTCTGGAGCATAGTTAGTCAGGTCTCCATGCCACTGATCTTCATTCCCTGTGGAACACATGCCTCTTCAACACACGCCCCTGCGCACGTGATAACGTGTCTCCAAAGAGTGGGCTTGGTGTGAGTGCGAGCACCTGTTTCTTTGCTTGTGCTGTGGTTTGCTCTTTGACTTCAGCTACCTCAAAAATGCTGTACTTGTCATTGTGGTTGTAAATGCAACCTTGAAAATGGCCTTGTGTAATCTTAATCTGGCACTGAATAATGTGCGTGAGTGCGTGAGGATGTGCGTGCTTCACCAATATCTGTATCTGAGAAGTTTGTTTTCTTTTAAAATTGCCCGTGTTTCACACTAGAGTTGTTTGAATTTGACTTTCTGCCATTTAAAAAGCACCCTGTATTTTGCTGTGATCAAGTCAGTAGGAATGCATTTGTAAATTGTTTTCAGGTATGTTAAAACAAGAGGCCATACGCTGCCCGTGGTAACACAGTGTGTTTCTAGAGTGGAGTGGCTGCCTGACTCAGGTGCATTCTGAGAGTGTAGCTTCAAATATGTCACCACAGATGCAGGGCGGTGTATTGGGTTATGATGGTGTAATGGGGAGGGCCATTGATGCTGAGCTAACTGCTCCTTGTCTTTGGCTCAAAGGATGAAAGGCTTATTTTTCTTGAAGATTGGAAAAAAAAAAATCTGAATAGTCAGGGTATTGAAAAACAAAAACAAAACTCATTTGTTACAACTTGTGATGTATATCATGTTAAAAGCTGGGCACTGAGCGAGAGGCAGTCAGCATGCTGAATACAGTTGTCATCTCTGTCAGTTGCTTTTGGTACTCTGACCCTCCCATCCTGTCTCAAAATTCCTCTTTATGTGATTTCCCGCTTGCTTTGGGTGGCTGTGAATTCTTTGGATGGGAGCAATGCTTTTGGGGTCAAATGAACTCTGGCCTTGTTAAATATCTTCATAACATGTGTTACATTTTCTGAAATACAGATCTTGTGTATCAGTAATAGTCGAAAAGAGAAAGGAATGGGGTGGAACTGGCCTAACCATTTCATCCAAATCCAAGCCTAAATCAGAGAGCTCTCATTGCACAAGTGCTTTAAGTGTACTGAACACAGCAGGAGCAGGAAAATCATATCGATGTTAACAGTAAGCTGTCGGGCATAAGAAAGGTGCTGGAGTTTTTGTTTTCAAGCTTGTAGCTATGAACCACTACCTGCCTGGGATATCCAGCAACCTATGGTCTGTGTTGGCATGCTAACAGAAGTATTTGGTGTTTCTCAAAGAGGTTGGTCTGCAAGTAAGTAGCTTTCAGGAATTCCAGCACAGCAGCGCCCGGGTTGGCAGTACCCCCTGTGCTCTGAGAGTGAACAAGTTAATTGGAGAACGCTTTCTGTGATAACAAGGTGAAATACACATTCGGGGTGGTGCTCCATTTGCTCAGCCCTCTCACGTTAAATTAGTAGCATAAGATCCGCTTGTCCCCGGAGCATAGCTGCCAGAAGTATTGTGCTCATGCTCTTGCAGGATCCAGTCAGTCCATCTTGAAGGGGACTCCGACAGTGTGCACCCTGTAGCAGTTTTTATGCTTGTCCTTGCAGTAGTAATGGTGTGAGTGTTGATAAGTTGGCAGGTTTTCTGCTCTGGCAAATACAAGGCAGAATGGGAGACATGCTACTGTCTATATGTCCGAGGTTATTCTGTATTGGTTTTTTAAAGTAGTTTCATTATCCCCAAAGAGTCAGTCCCAGAAACGGGACTTTTTTAGAAACTGAATTTGTATTTAGGGCCATATAGCCATATCAGTGTGCATTATGCTGCAGCTGGAAAGCAGATACAGGGTAAAGCAGGAAGACAGAGGGAATGCCATATTGTTGTTAAGCAGATGTGCTGCTTTCTTTTTAAAAGACAGGAGGTATTTTCTGCAGGCTCTTGCTCCTGCATCTTTAGTGGACTCTTTGTATTGCATACCTCATTTCAGGGTGACAGAAGAGGAATGGTGGTCTGAGTGAACTTTAATCTGTTTCCTCTGTGTAGGGAGCAGAAGGGCTGTTTACTCTTTTATTTCCATGAAGTGCAGAAGCGAGAGTAACTACAATTCCCACCTCTGGCTTTTTAGGAAGGGAAAGGAGCAAACACTGAATACTTGACAGGATTTGTCTTCCAGCCAACCTTTCAGTGACAGTTTGCAGGATACCCAACTATCTGGAACGTGACTAGACCCCTGTCCACATCTTAATAGTTGGCCTTTCTGGTGTAGATGATGCATTCAGTTATTTTGTTTCTGTACTTCAAAACATTCTTCTCATTGTGATGTTCACTGGAAAATGTATAAAGTTTATAACACTTTATTGGATATCCAGATTTGAAATGTATGATCTTTTTTTTTTTTTTTTTTTTTTTTAAACTTGATATCTGTGTGTGATTATAAGCAAATGCTTACTGTTATACAATGTAGGTAATGGGTAAATGCATTAATTTTTATTACCCTGATTTTTAACCTGGAAAGAGTTGCTTCCTTGCATCTTCTGGTTGACTGGGAAGATATGGCAAATCATGTTTGTTTTTTTTTTAAAAGGACAATAACAACATTAGTTGCTATAATGGGCACCTTCTATAAGGAAGTCAGTGAAAAATCATAGTAATCCAGCTACTTTGAAAGCTCTAAACCTGGTAAGCTTCTTGATTCCGTCTTCCTGTTCCCAGGCATCTTAGCAAAGCCTTGAGTGCATTTTCCAAATGTTTGTATTTAATACGTTCTACGATTTTTTTACAAATAAAAGTAAATGTTAACACCTGATCTGCTTGTGTATTTCTTGAAATAAGTAGCAGTCTCTGACAGGCTTCCAGTCACCGTTTGTATCCCTGCAGGTACAGTAAGCATAACACTGACAGGTTGGGGTATTCAGATGACTTTCCTCCTGCACACAGACTGACTGACATTTCTCATCTCCTCACCAGCTTCATCCAGGTCAGCTCAAGAATCTGCAGAACAGCAATCTCTTTGATACAAAAGACTTGCTGTTGCTATCTTGGTGGTGGTCCGTCATCGCAACAGAATATGTAGGAAATCTGTTTATTTCTTTGTAATTCTGAAATACTTTATTCTGTACAAGACACTGCTTTGGGGCTTCATTAGCCGCAAAATCTGGCTTACATGCAGCCAAGTCTCAAGGCTGTTTGAGGAAGATGATACAAGTGGTAGAAGATGATGCTAGAGCGAAAATAAAATAAAAAGCTAGTGTAAGTGGGAAAAAGCCCCATTTAAATTCTCACAAATGACACTGCATTTCTGGTTTGCCAGAATTACCCTCTTAGCAGAGGTAGTGTCATTCAAACCATCAAGAAAAAACCCAAGCCCCAACATGAAAATGGAGTCAGCCTCAGAAGCCAAATGTGATGGCTGCTTTACTCATTGCTGAAGGCTGAGCTGTGATCGTGCAGGGGATGCCCTCACCATGAAGCCACTGTGGCCAAGCACAGTGAGGTTTGGGGCTCTTCTTCCCGTCCTCTCTTCCCCCTGCCAGCTCTTGCTTGCTTCTGGGCTGCTGGGTACGTGTGGATATTTCCTCTGGGATTTTTGAGATCCAATTAATAATATTCTCAGCTGAAGCTCTAATACCTCCATAGCTTTGAATGTGTTAGATGCCCTTTTTTCAAGATGTTTCGTTTCAGGTTCTTCAGTGTAAGTGCTATGGCTTTTAAGTTCACCAGGGTATTTCAATCCCCCTTTAATTTCTCTGTAAGACTTCAAATTCAGTGCAGCCTGCTATGTAAGACTTGTATTAATAATTTCCTCATTTCTCCGATGCTGTGTCAGAAATACGTGCTCTAGCAGCAGTGAGCCAGAGAATGTCTTTAAAATGTGATTCCTGTCAATTACAAAACTCTCTTCTGAGTTTTAGGGGAGGCTTCCTTCCATCCCCAAGGAAGAACAATTTCCAAATGAAAAATGCACTGTCACTCGGCTTCTTTCTGACCCCTCAGCACCTCTCTGTGGCAGTTTTTATCCAAATCAAATGTAAAAATTAATTATGCTGCAACCCTGATGCCATACTATTGATCCCAAGTGCACATTTTGTCGTCTTATAGTGTTATATATAACTGTTGTAAGTTCCGATTTGATTCATGTAAAATTGTCCCTCCGCACACCGAACTGAGGGAAGCAGAGGGCAAAGCCACGTGTCCTTAGATGTGCTCATCACCCGATGAAGAGCTTGGACTTCATCAGCAAGTCAGAAAGAGTCCTTAACACCATCTCAAGATGATACTGGAGGAGGAAAATGGTGATTGTCTCTGGAAAATGTTAGACAGCGTGAGAAAGGTGATCTTGCACCTTGGAGTGTTTCTGTAGAAACCCCTGGAGACATCATATGGGACAGAAACAGCTTTTTTCACACTGAGTTCTCAGTAGAACTTTAAATACAGCTCTAATTTGCCGTGTGACCCAACTCCTGTACATTTAACTGTTTCACTGCTACGTTTAGAAGTGGTGTTCTGTCCTCACTCAGGGACAAAATAGTTTGTCTATTTTTTAATGTATGAGGGCTGCTTCAGATGTATTGCCTCCTGTTTTATGATCTCAGAGGCAGAATTTTGGTAGTATGGCAGTAGAGGTTGAACTTTCCTGCCAATATTCCATTGCATTTTGTTGCTGTGGGACAGATGGCAGCAGAGGGACAGTCTAACAATACGGCATCTGACATGGAAGTGTGCATGAAGCAAAGGTGTGTCACTGAATTCCTCCATGTGGAAAAAATGACACCCATTCATCAGTGCTTGCTAGGTGTTTCTGGAGGCCAACCAGTGGATGTGAGTGCAGTGAGGTGGTGGATTGTGCCTTCCAGCAATGATGGCAAAGCTACGTTTCTGGTGGAATATGCCCAGCTGTGAAACCACACAATGAATAGCATCTCAATCAGCTCATCCACGTAAATCAGCACCAATCAGGGAACCATGTGGAACTGAATGTTGGCTTCAATGCAATGGAAACAACGGTGGCAATGTTGGAATACTGCAAAGTTTGTGCCAAGCGTGTTCCACAGATGCTCACATAAGAACAAAAGAACGCAGTATGCATGTTTGTCAGGACCTACTGAACCACTGGGAAGCTGAAGGCGACAAATTCCTGGGGCACGCCATTACCAGTGAAGAGATGTGGTGTCATCACAAGAGCCAGAGTCAAAATGGCAGTCACATTCTGCTCAGATGTGAACCAAACACACAGGCAGTAAGTTGGGAATGAAATTCATTTGCAAGCAGCTTCAGAGAAGATGGGATTTTCAGGCAGATTTGCACCCGTTTTCCATTTTACTTGAGGCGTTTTTGAATGTGTGGGTTTGTACCCTTCGTTATTCACTGAAAGGAGAGATTGGATCCAAAACATTCAAGCTACTTAAAAAATGCAATGTGTTTTCAAAATTGTTTGCTCACTTGGTTATCTCTTCATGCAGACGTTAACAAAGCATGACTTCTGATCTGGGTTGATGCATTTACAAGTAGGCCCTCTGAAAGTCTCCTCTACCTCTTCTCTTACAGCTAGTGTGTTTTTATTTAATTTGTCAGATACAAAGGTGGGGTTTTTGCTACAATTTCTTGAAGAATCATTAAGACTTTAACTGAACTTGATGAAGATTGGTTGTTTATCAGAAGGCATGTTGAAAGAGTGCCATCATTGTCCAAAATACACAAAATACACAGCTGAGAAGCATTTGGGATTCCATTCCCAAACCTCCTACAACATCTGTGTGACTATGCAAGTCACTTCACCTCCCCAGTAAAATAGGAAAGAAAGAAATGTCACGACACTTCTGTGATACAGCTTTGTGAAGCCACGAATGAGAAGCATGCGTCAGTGTTGGTTGTGCATGGTTAAATTGGGTATCTGCTCCAGTTTTATGAGATGTTAAAATACCTTTGTGAACGATTCTGAAGCAGGACGTGGAGTTGTGGTGGTTTCTTGCTAATTCTCGGCACCTCAGATCTCCACTTCAGTCCACCTGCATAAGAGTGCTGTGCAGCCAAGTGTTGGGAGTTGATGGGAATAGGGAAAAATCCCCCAGGTGTTGTTCCCTCAGTGCTGTATTGCAACTTGAATGACAAAGTGCAGATGTTATTTCTACCTGGAAAAAGGAGTGGAAAGGAACAGTTGCAGAGCAATTCTGATTATGATGGTCCTAGACAAAATTCATTCCATAGGTGCATCTGTTGAACATAAAATCTCAGATAATAAAATTGAAGGAATACGCCACGTGGCCAGGATGTGATAGGGGCAAGGGGAGGAGAAGTAACCCACAGAAAACATAAAAGCATTGGAGTAGCTGAAGATAATACAGGAAGGACCTGTGATATATGTGCTGAGATGTTCCATGCACTGCAGGAAGGAGTCTGCAGGTGAAAAAAAAATAAAATTGAAAGAGAGTCTCTGCTATTTCATATGCTTTAGATATATGATTAATAAGCTAGAAAGAGTGATGTCCTGATTTTCCCCTAGGTTTTTTGTGGAAAGAAAGTGCATATGGAGAACACATCTAATAAAAGCTCTTCTGGCAGATGAGAGCTGAAGGAGGAACAAAAATAGTGCCTGCTTGGCCAGGCAGCAGCTGCTGCTTTTGGACTGTTTCATGGAAGACATGAATTTGATTCATTTCCAAAGACAATTTGGAAACTCCAGGCAGCAGAGAAAGGGACTCCCCCTTGACTTGGCTGTTTTTCTCTGAATTGCACTTGTGTGAAATGCAGTTAGCTGTGCTTCTCAAGTCACTTCTGGGGGATTGCAGTGTGTAGGGATTGACCCTCTGTTCCTCGGTTCAAGAGATTTGGGAGCCTCGGTGCCTGGAGTCAAACACACTGGATTTCAAAAGGCTGGGGAACTTGCAGCTTCTGCTGCGGCCACCTCAGTGGAAAAGTTCTCTTTAACTTCAAACCAAAGCAGATCTCAATTGCACATTGAAGATTCTCTACTGGTGGCCAGTGCCTCCTTGATCTCTCTGGTTACTGAGTGCTGGTTAGGGCTGTCTTAGTCCCTCTGGACCTCCCTCTCTTCCAGTCTGATCTCTGTGCTGTTCTTCCATTCGACAAGACCAAGTCTTATCCAACTTTAACATGAAGCACATCTACTAGGGTACTTAGGAACTAAGCAACTTACCTAGCTGAAAACAACCCATGTGAGGGCTGGGCTGTGGAAATGGCTGAGGTAAGTGTAGGAGAGCACTGTTTGGTGATTGCTCCGACAGTAATTTGCCTGCTCTGATGGGAAACAATAATGGGGAGGAAGAGACAGTAAACAGTGAATCAATCCACACACTTGTTTAAAAATACCTCCTCTTTGTGGCTTTGGTTACAAGAACACTTTGTGGGTCACAGAAGAAAGGCATTAGCAGTAGTTTAGGCCATATTCTAATTTTTACTTTCTTGAAGTCCCATGAATCTCTAAGCAACAGAATTTCCACCAGTGCTCATACTGGGGGGGAAAGGGGAGCAGAGGGGCAGTGGATATTTTAAGCAAACCATTGCAGTTAAAGCAAGCAGGAACTTCTGTAACTAGCGCTAGATTGCAGTTAAGGAGTGCATCTGTTTGAGAAGGGGCAGCATGAGACACTAGAAACCCCAATTTTGCTTTTTAGATACTCTCCAAAGGGGGATGATAAGTATTCTTGGTCTGCCTCATGTTGCTGCAGATTTAGGAAACGGGAGCTACATGGTTCAGGGATGATTCTTACCAACCCCTGCAGATGCAAAGGAGAGAAGATGCGGTGCTCAGAGAAAGGATGCCCTGTGCTATGGCACACCTCCTCCTCC